CAAAAGTTGATAGAACATAATTTAATTAGTAAAAACATTAAGGGTATCATTAAATAAATACAATTAAGTACCCTCTTGAGAGGGCTCTTCGAGCTGCCACATAAGCTTTTGCACTTCTTAAATAATATATAGATGTGACATAACACTATATGTTGATTTAAATCTTATGTGGAAAAGTTTATAGCCTCAACTTTTATATAGTATAGATTTATATTACCGAAGCAAATAAGGAAAAGGAAAGAGGTATGATTCTTCCATATAAAAGAATAAGAGTTGTTGTAGATTGAAGTAAAATACGAAAACCCTAAACAACAATCAAAGTCACCGTCACTTTCTTTCTTATCACACAGACGATGTCGGAACTTCCAAAAGATTTGGTAGAGGAGATACTATGTCGCGTTCCGACCACATCTCTGAAACGATTACGATCTACTTGCAAACGATGGAACAAATTATTCAAAGATGATAGGAGATTCACAAGAAAACACTTTGAGAAAGCCACAAAGGAGTTTATGGTTCTCATGTTGAAGGAGTGTAGAGTTTATTTGATGAGCGTCAATCTCCATGGAAGTTTATTTGTACAAGTCACTGGTGAACTTAGCCTAATCGACCCTTTTTCTAGTTTAGATGAAGATCAACAATTCGATATATATCAAGTTTTTCACTGCGACGGCTTATTGTTATGCACTGATGATGACAATTACGATGACGACGCTAGAATCGTGGTTTGGAACCCATGTACTGGTCAAACCAGGTGGATCCAAACCAAAAACCATGAGAATACAAGCTACTTAATTATACTATGCTCTTGGATCCTACCAAGACAACAAATCCAACAATAAAAGCTACAAAGTATTGAGCTATAGTGACAACCAAGAATTCGCAATCTATGAGATTAACTCTAATTCATGGAGGATTCTCGATGTCAATCATGACTGCCTCCTAGAAACTGATTACGGTGTGTCTTTGAACGGAAATACTTACTGGTGTGCTTCAGATGAAAAGGAAAAACATCTCGGCATATTCTTACTCATCTTTGATTATTCAACAGAAATATTTGAACGTATTCCTTCCTATATGTAATTATCAAACTGTGGCTCTATCGGTTGTTAGAGAAGAGAAACTTTCCGTGTTATTACGTCGTCGCGAAAATACACAGAGGACAGAGATATGGGTTACAAATAAGATTGATGAGACCAAAGCCAAAGTGGTGTCTTGGAGCAAGGTCTTTGAAGTGGATTTGAAGCCTAAACTTGATATTTGGTATGGCGTAAATTTCTTGTTCGATGAGGAGAAGAAAGTCCTCATGTGTTGTGATAAGTACAGAAGCAAAAACATGGTATACATTGTTGGAGAGGAGAATGAAGTCAAACGAGTGTATTTTAGAGACGAATCAGGTTTGCCATATTTGTTTAATTATGTGCCAAGCTTGACTCAAATCCAGCTATGTGTTGGAGGCAAAAGAAAAAGAGGCGAGTAACAAAGAGCATCCACAATGGATGGGTTTCAAAAATGGGTTCTCTAATGTATTTAAGATTAGTGTTTCAATATTATTTCAATACATTCCCATATTGGTAGTTTCTTTAATCAAAATGAGATGTCTTCAATTATTTAGG